TGCTTCTTGGGAAAGCAGCTTAAAATATGAGTTCTCCCATATTTTGGGACTCTGATGGAATCACAGAATCCCAGAAGCTGGAAAATCCCCCTGAGCCCATGGAGTCCAAGCATTCCCAGCCCTGCCCAGGCCACCACTGCCCCACGTCCCCAAGTGCCACATCCACAGGGCTGTGAAATCCCTCCAGGGGTGGGGACTCAAACCTCCCTGGGCAGCCTTTTCCATGAAGGGATTTCCCCAGAATCCCAGCTGGACCCCCTGAACACCCCCAGCAGTCATGGAAGGACTCCGTGTGCAGCTGTGGGAGGAACTGTGGGATCCCTGAGGGTGGGGTGTCCTGGCAGGTGGTGACTCCACAGGGATTTTCCAGCTCCAGCTGCTGAGATCCCACATTTTAATGTGGAATTTCCAATTTCCTCTTTTTCCTGCTTTTTGTGGGATTGTGCCCAACAGAGCTGGGGTGGCCCAGGGGACCCATTCCGCTGCTGAGGGAGGAGATTTCTCTTTTCCTTGTCCTTCCTGTTGTCCCCACTGGAAGTGCCTGGGTTGGGGATTTCTGTTTTCTTCCTTGAAGGATTTCTCCTCCCTGCTCCCACCAGTTCCATGGGATTCTCTGTCAGGTGTCCCTGGATCCCTGGCAGTGCCCAAGGCCAGCCTGGATATTGGGGTCCGCTGGGACAGTGGGAGGTGTCCCTGCCATGGCAGGGGTGGCACTGCAGGGGCTCTGGGGTCCCTCCCAACCAGAATTCCACCATTCCATGATCCAGCACTGGGCTTGATGCCTTGAGGATCTGCCCTAGAGCAGAGGCTGGGCAGAGTCCCAGAATAAATCAGGGATTCATTCACAGCATCTCCTCCATGGCTGCACCTTGGGCAGCACCAGAGCCCAGCCAGGGCTGCACCCAAGATGAACCAAAACGGCCCCAAAATGCACGAGCGCTCCCGGGGTCTCTCCCTGGGATCAGTTCTGCTCCATTTGCACCTTGCAGTTCATTGTCCCATCCCAGCTTCAGCCCAGGCACTCCCACCCTGCTTGTTTTTCTCTCTGCAGCCCACGGGGTTTGTGCTCCTGGGCTGAGATGTTTTTCCACTGGGAAAAGACTTCCCAGGAAGTTTGACACCGAGCAGTGGCAGTTCTTCAAGGCCACCACCTTGTCCATCTGTTCCATCCATAAAACGATGGATTTTAACTCATTCCATGCAGAAATTTAAATTCCCAGCTTCCTGGCAGGTGGATTTGGAAGCTCCAGCGATGCTGGAGAGCTTGTGCTGCTTAATCCCTCAGAAAACTCTTGTTTTCCCCTTTTGTTCCAAAAAAAAAAAATAATCCGTGGCCAAGAATCGGTTAAAGACACTCAGAACAGAACAATTTACTGGGATTGAGCGTAGTTCTCTCTGGTGTTATTTGACTGACCCAGATTGACACAGAAATTACAAAAGAATTCCTGAGCTCTGGGGTGGAGATGAAGCAAAAGTTTTTATTTTTAGCATTTTTATTGAATATTGGTCCTTAATTTTAATGTGTTAGACTCAACCTTCATTTAGGGAAAAAAAGGGTTTTTTTTCTCAGGAAAAGCCTTTGGATTTAAGTAACTTGGTGTGAAAACCTGCTGGAAAAGGAGTTTGTGCTTTGGTGTTACCATAAAATTTTATGATGTTAACATAAAGGCTTTGAGTTGACTTACACTGAGCTGAAGTCATGTGTTCCTTAGGATTTTGCAGGAGAAGGTTCATGGATAAGGTGGGAAAAGGAAAATTTACCTGAAAAAACACAGCTAGAGCTGCAATATCAAGTGAGAAAAGCAATGCTGATCCCAGGTTCTTATTCCCTGAGATATTTCCACACTGGAAATAATTCATATTTCCATTTTTCACAGTTTTCAGTCATTGTACAACTCAGGAATTCTGTGGGATTTCCCCTCCTTTTTCCCCCCATCCTTTCCTCCAGGAGCTGCTTTCATGTAGCTCAGGAATTTTTGCTCTTTTAGTGGATTCCTTGAAGTTTCCCCTGGAGATGGAAATGCCATGGAAGGAACATTTTGGGGAAGGAATTTTCCCTGGCAGTGTTTTCCATCCTTGGGACGACTGTTGAGGAGCAGGATCAGATCCTGAGGTAAATCAGGTGTAAATCAGGTGTACAGAAAGAATCAGGGCTAGGGGAGCTTTTTATTCCATGTTCAGTCGGAATTGGTGCTGAGGACAATCAGTGGTGCCCTGCTGCTTCCCAGATCCCTTTTCCTTGGAACCACAGAGTGGAATCACGGGATGGGTTGGCTTGGAGGAGACCTCAAAGCCCCACCAACCTCTGCCATTGCCTCACCACCCTCGTTTTCCCCATTTTTTCTTCCTTGGATCATCTCTTCCCACCTAAAAAGCTGTGGAATGAGCAGACGCCATGCAGGACAATCATTTTAATTCTGATTTAGCAGCTGGTGTTGTTATCCAAGGAGTTTTATCCCTGATAATTTATTACCTGAGATAATTCCCATAAAAACCCCACAATGTCCTGCCCAGAGAAGCTGTGGTGCTCCATCCCTGAAGTGTCCAAGGCTGGAGCAGCCTGGGATGGTGGCAGGTGTGGGGTGGAACTGGATGGGATTTAAGGTCCCTTCCAACCCAAACCATTCCACGATTCCATGATTCCCAAAGGATTGGAACAACACAGGGATGGGTGTTGGAGTCTGGACCCTTCCAAGGACAAACTCTGCCCTGGTTGCCGTGGGGGACACAGCGAGGAGCGGGATAATTAAAATAATAATAATTAAAAACCACTTTGCCATCCAACAAACGCCCCTGTTGTTTTAGTTGCTCATTAGTTAATTTCCTTCTAACGAGGCTCCGTTAACGCAATCATCTGACATTGGGGGGAAAGGGAGAGAGCGGGGAGGGGAGGACCTGAGTTAAAGGAACTTAATTAGCGAGTTAATTATAGCGAGCAGGGAAATGTTCTGGTTACATAAATAAGGCATTGTTATGCACACAGCCAGGCCACGCTCAGAACAGGTCAGGGAACGCTGTAATTCCACACAAAACACAGGCAGGAATTGTTTGTCGGGACGCCTCATTAAGTCCCGGGGTCTGCCAAAAAAACAAAAAACAAAACAAGAAAAATAAGAGTCTGAAAATCCGACTGGTTCCCTTGGCTCCCCCCGGCTGCGGTGAAACCGGAGCGGGCGGGATCGGGATGGGCTGAGGATATAAACGGGGTCGGGGCATTCCCTGCTCCGTTCCGAGGGAGCCGCGAGGCCACCATGCCCAACAAGAAGAAATACAACGTCAACGGGGAGCCAACGGGCATGAAAGCCCAGGTGAGGGCACTCTTGGGGACCACAGTAATGGGTTTTCTACTCAAAAGCGCGATCGTTTCTCTGCTACCTCGCTCTTCTTCCTCCTCTCCTCGCTGTGTCCACCCAGTCACGTATTCCTGGAGCTCCTTGGTTGGAGAAAATCCCAGTTTCTGGAGAGCTTCCCTTAATTTTCCCTTCCGAGCAATGAAGAGTCAAGGCAAACACGTTGCTCTGGGGTTGGTGGGGTCGGCACGGGGAAATTTTCCAGGAAAACCTTGGAAAAGGAGACCTTTCTTGCACAGAGAAGTAGCTCAAGGTGGCTCTTTGTGATGGAAACCCCAGGTCAGATGAGCAGCGGCTCATTTGGAATGTAAAGGTGAAACCTCACCTGCATTAACCCCTTGTGCCCCTGCAGGTGAGGTTTTCCAGCGGGAATCGTCTGTTCCTGCTGGAAGTCGAAAGCAGCAGCTCTTGTGTCACTTCAGAGCAGCTTGGGCTCATAAATCCAAGCAGCTGCAGCTCTTCAAGGCTCCACAGTTTTTCCTTGAAGCTGTTGCCTTCAGAGGTGTTTTGGTGGGAGCCCACCGAGCCAAATCTGTCTCTTCATCCCATCTGGAACATTCCCATCTTCCCAGCCCGGCTGGAACATGGCTCTTGTGGGTTTGGCAGGTTTGGAGCAGCCTGGCGTAGGAGAAGGTGTCCTGTGGAACTGGATGATCCTTAAGGTCCCTTCTGACCCAAACCATTCTGAGACCCTGTGAAATTCCCTTTTTGCCCACTCTCTCCTTTAATCCTGAAGGATTAAAGCCAAAGAACGTCGGCCAACGCAAAGCAAAAGCAGATCTGAGCCCTGACCTGGCCCTTGCCCGAATTTCCCTTTCCTGGTGCTTCCTTCACCTCCTGGCTGTCTCAGCTGAAGCTGAACCCAGCTTGTGGCAGTGTTTAAGGGGTTTAAACCATACAGGGTTTATTTGAGTCTGGTTCTAATTCTGCCTGAATCAGTTCAGGACTCTTTTGCTTCGTCGTTTACTTGGTTTTGGATGAGTGAGGGCTCAGAGAGCTCTGAATTACCAAGATCATTGCATTGTGTGAAAAGTTGTGTTCGGTGTCCTTGAAGAGGCGATGTGGGAAAGGAAAATGTGGATTTAACCCAAATTATTCCCCCTTTGTTAGAATCCCTGCGTGTCTCCAGCTCCGCTTCACGCCAATAACCTCCTCCTGTGATGGAGCTGCTCAGCCGTGGAGGGATTTGTTCTAAATTAAGGGAAGAAAAAGGACAAAAAAGAGAAGTTATTTCAGGCCAGCAGCTTCTTAGAGGAGGAACATAAACCCTGGTGTGTGTGCAAAGCCCCCGTCCCGCCGGGATCGGGGCGTTAATCCTGGCACAGCCCTGGCTGTAACTTGAGTTCGGTGTGGGTTTTCCCTTCTGTGGCTGCTCCTGATCCGCTGTCGTTCTGTTGTGTACTCCTAAAAACTTGTGTTCTCCAGCCATCTGTGCTCCCAAATTCAACAGCCTGGAGTGACATCTCTGATCTTGGCTGGAAGGACTGAAACTAAACAAAATGGGCAATTTACCATATCCAGTCCCCGTTAAATAACAGGAACTGTGCTCTGGGCCATGACTGAGGTGGTGTCGGTGTCAGCTCATGGATTTGGGTTCTTGGGATTGATCTGTTGGGTTTTTTACAGAAAATCCCTGATTTCTTTCCACAG